TATAGTCATGTCTCTTCGAAGATTAAAGATTTAAATTGGTTAAAGATGGAATCACAGTTTGTTTATGCTATGAAGGTGTTTGTCCATAAAGTAGTTCGCTCAAAAACGCCACCGTACATTGTAGAAAAGCTAATACCAACAGGTAACATTAATCAGAGAAATATCAGACCTGCGTTGCCAGTCCACTACACAGCCCTTCTCCAGAAAAGCTTCACATTTCATGCTGTCAAGTTATACAACTCTACAGATAAAATGTGTCGCAGTAAAACAGTAGTACCTTTCAGGAGACTCGTTAAGAAACAGCTGATGAGATATTAATAGTTCAAGTGTGCAGTTGTCATTTTTTTTTCTTTTTCTGTTTCATATTACTCTGTTGGCTCATGTGTGCGTGTTGTCAATGCGTTATCTATTCAATTCATTTAATTACATTTCTTTTTGTTCTTATAATTACTATTGTTTGTTTGTGTATCCAGTTTAACTATGTTACTCTTTCGCACACAGTGAGGTTAAGTGTAAGAGTAGTCATTTGGCTAAACTTCGCCACACTGATGTATGTGTATTAATAAAGACTTTTCTTATTATTATTATATAAAATTTGGGAAGCGAACAATAGAAGATAAGACAACTCTTAACCAACTTGCGTGCTCTTGAGGATATTGGCCTGCTATCAGTTTTGTAGATTCGATTGCTTAGTATCAAAAAGATATATAATCAACCATGAGGACCAGAATTTTATTGAAATTCCGTTATTTCGTTGATCATGATTGTTACATTGTTTCCCAAATACTTATGTCCGATACGTTAAAGTTTCTATGTACTGATATGTTTGTGTTTCAAACCGTAGTTAATTCGGAGTCAAAAGCATCCGAAGAATATCCGTAATTCGAATAGATCTAATCAAATTAACCTTCTTTCATGCCAAACGAAGTTGTCTATGTAATCATCTCTCTCGTGTTCGTTTTGCTTTACTAAAATGTCTGTTATTGAAGGCTGACAGCGGTGTAACTCTTGTCATTTGTCCCTACTTGATTCAATCAAATCATTTTGAGGGGAGGAAGGTTACTATCGACAATCTAACATCAAGAGGACTATTATAGAATATAATTGAATCAAGCCACAGCCCCTACTGTGCATCTGGTTCTTGTTTGTTATCGAACTGTCCCTTTTCACAAAACAATTTGTGATTCATCAGGTTCAAGACAACGGAAAGCACTTTTTGAGTGGTGTCTGTGAAAATTGTGCTAAAACTTGAAGCATCAAAAAAAACGATATACAGGGTGTTTCACAACTTATCCAACAAATTATAACCAACCAACTGTTACGAAGGAAGATGATTTCTCAAAAAAAAAAATGTGATAAAAGTCCTACAGAAATTAAGTTATAAACCTGAGTTTCAATAATAGCTTGAAAAATAAATATCTGTATTTTGCGTTCATCATCGTGATCTTAGAACACGCATTATTAATTTATTGTAGCAAACAACTGACGGAAACAAAATAACAGGAATTTTTTGTTTTTTCATACTGATAAGAACGTGTAAATACGGTTTAATCTGTATCGTCGGTGATTTGAATGAAGAACAGCCGATTTTTGTGAATTTAAATGAGACAGTATTTTCAAAAATCAACAAGAATTAATATATCGAAAAAAGGTCATATTTTGGTGTTTATTGAACATTGATACATAACGATAAGTTTCTCAAGTCCCACACTTCGGTCGGTGGACGCGGATTAATGTAAATGTTATGTGTCCATCAAACTTTTACATGTTAGATCTCAGCTCAGAACAGCTTTTCATGGATAAAAAGTAATTAGATATTCTTCAAATCCCTACATAAAGGCGATGGAATAACGTTATTGCAAAAGAAAAGATTTCGCTGAAAACGTTTTCATAGCAGAGTAATCCTAGTAATCGTTGCACCGATTTTAGTTAGGTTAGGGGTTTAGGGGAGAAGGATGTTATGGCATTAGTAGCTAATGATTTTGATTCATTCAATCACCGAAGAAACTGCTAGCAACAAAAAACAAAAAAAAAGTATACTTGATCATTTTTGTGTGCTATCAAAAATGTTCGTGGAAACGCCAAATTTTTCGAAAAAAAATTGTACCTTTTTCGACATTCGGAATTTTAAAATGTGATCAAAAAAAGACAATTTAATTTTTTGAATCGATTAAGTTGGTCCGTAGGAATTGTATACGTAGATACTGAAGAAAAACGAGGTGCTCTCATACCTCTATTTGAAAAGAAGCAAATCTTAAACGGTCATAAACTACTAAAATCTCCTAGCTTCTAAATTTTAATATAGCATTCTCAGAATCGTATGCACGGCGCTTGCGGAGAAAACAAACGCCAGACAACCATCAGAGCTTTTTGATAGACAGCAGCAAAATTAAGCAAAACATCGATCAAAGCGAGACTCATCCCACTGAAAAGTTTACTTGACCGTTACTTATCGCCGCCGAAAGTGTTTCAGACGCTGCAAACGTTTATTTATGCCGGCGAATTATAAATATATATCAAACTTCAAAGCCTACCGTCATGCCATCATACTGCTACTGTTTCGAAAATAAATCGCTTCCCGTAAGGATCTAGTTCCGTTTGAATTCCAGGTATGTCTGGGAATATTTTTATAGTCTGAGAGGTTTTGCACGATTCCAATTTTTGAGAATTATTATATTAATTATTATTGGATTGACAGTAAAATTATCAAATGATTACTGTAGAAATTCATTTACGTTGAATAGAATATTCCATTCTTCTAAAGACAAAACAGTGAAAACTATATAAAAGCCCATCTTTTGTCTCTAGGGTTTCAAAATTAAAACGAAAGCTTTTTCCAACCTACACTGGTACTTATTATTCAAGGCACATATTTCTGGCATAGGTTTATAAAAATAAATTATACCATTGGTTAACGTATTGTATCTGTAGATAGCCTACCATGAATCTTCAGTGTCCAAAAAATTATCTCTGATAGAATGAGATCTTGGCGTCAACTATAAGAATATAACAATCAATAGAAATCTACTTTGAAATTGTTAGCGCTGTAGACATAACTGTAATGATTATACATACATACAACTTACATGTTGAAATGAAGGACTACAGATTTTTTCCTACAAATAGTTATCGCAAATTCCAAAGATTTATGTCAGAAATTTTTGTGGAGTAGAAGAAAGAACCAGATAGACATGTATGGATTAATTTACGTATGCACGTAGTTTTTAGGCCAATCTTATCCTTATTTATTGCAGTTGTTGTCAAAAGAGTGTTTCGAGGTTCTAACCTTATTTTTTCACTTCTGCAATTACTATCATTAGCCACATTTCCTAATAAAATCCTGTAAAACATACATTCTCAGCCATTTTCACAAATCAAATAGATTTATGTATTGGCAATTGTGCGCTTTTTACTCAAAACCTTTTTACATAACAAAAATAATAGGAAACTCAATTTGTATGATTTTCTTCAAATTGTTTATCTTTCTGATGATTAAAGTAAAATGTTGGAAGACAGATTGTTTTTACTAACCGAAATCCAGGCTGAAATCTATAAGAACAAGAAAATTCTAATCGACACCACACGATACCGATCTAAATGTTTAGGAATTTAACAAAAGCTAGCAGGTAGAAGATGGAGAAAATATCAAATGACCAAACTCTATCCTTTCACTAAAAGATGTCCACAAAAGAAATGAAACTTAGAAACACAGCCAGGCATTGTGGCATTCATTTATAGGCATATTGGTAGAATATTAGAATTGCGATATTGGTATAATATGGATCAACAAACATTTGGCAAAACCAAGAATAAAGAATGACAAGAACTTAATGCCGGTGCAACAATTGATTTTCATCTTTATTAATACTTTTTAAAAAAGATTCAATATTCGTGTACGAAATCCTTCTTTTCTTTTAGTCATTATTATTTATCAGGAACCTTTTGAAATACTAAAAGCTACTGTGACAGATCTTTAGTGCCAGTTTCAGTGTTGTGTTTGACTTGGAATAAAAATTAAATAGCTATTTTGGAATTGAAAAAATATTCAAATAATGCCTCTCAATTATTTGCCTCCACTGTCGCATCTTGAAATATTGTAAATTCTAAATAATTTATGCATTTATAATGCATTTTTCTTGACATACTTTATATACATATGTCTTCTATTTGGGGAATGTGTGGTAAGACTGAATTTCATAGAGCACAAGTTTGACAAGATAGAATATTAAGAATTCTGTTCAACTATGACCACCTTGCCAACACGGATATGTACATAGAATTGAATGTTATTAAACCAGAACTGTTGGAATTAGAGCAGTGTAAATGGATTTTCAAAGTTGTTAATAACAAAAGTGTATTACAAAAATTATGATCACATATGATCTTGACTATAAAACAAGAACCAATATAGGATTAAATAACCCTGTCACTGATGCTATAAAAACATGTAATGATCTACCACATAGAGTAAAGAGAAATTTTGAATAAATACTATAATGTCACTGGATTTGTTAAATTCACACTTTAAATATTATGTTAGTTGTTCTCCAGGCCAGTGTTTTAAACATAGAGTAGAGAACTTTGTTTACTATAAAATTTGAAAAAATTGGCTATTGAATAAAGTTTGTTTTAAAAAAATACTTGTTATGTTATATCTGGTGAGTCAAACTGATTATACATTATACATTGAAAACGTTTCGCACAATTACTGCATTGATATTTATTTCATTAATTGCTGAAATTCTCCCATCCTATAGTTTCACTCTAAGATGCAAAACATGAATCGTGCCGTGCTTCCCTTTACTCAAACATCGTTAGACCGACGACGTAGCTGATAAAAGATAAAAAGTCTGCAAAACGATTTGTATACAACAAAATTGATAATGTGCTACATTTTTTTTAACTAATTGATGCCTGACACTTGACCCTCAAAAACGCTACCGATGTAATGTTACCTGTCAAAATGTCATCAACGCTGAAAAACGTGAATATCACCGTACCTTTTATGTATCATCATAATCCATGATCAGCGGAAAACCAAACAAAACAAACAAAATTCAGTTCACGTCACGCAACAGAACACAAACCAAATACAAAAAACCACGAATCTCACAAACCAAAATGGAAAACCCTGCAGCGGGGTCGCACTTTTCGAAATTGGCGGGCGGCGCGCGACACACGGACCGCAATCGGAAAGAAAACAAGAGACAGTCAAGCGGCAAGTACGTCACTTCCGACGTTGAAAGACGGACTGAGGCTGCGACGCGGCCGAGGACGCGGACTCGCGCGGCGGCCTTAAGCGCGCGCGGCGTTGCCATGTCGACGGGGGTGGCAAGCACGTTGGGGTAGTTTCCGGTGACGGTTGCCATGTTGAGCCATTATCACTTTTTCCCACGCCAATCGGCCAGAAAGTATTGTAATCACGGAAATTTTCGAAAATGAAATGGTAGTTTTTTTGTCACTCATTTCGGTCAGTCAGTCCATCTATTCGCTAATCCGGTAGCCGGTCGGATTTTGGGATACAAGGTTACGCCTATGCCAAGGACGAAAAAGCTTTGTATTTTTTGGAAATCGATCCCGCTTCGGCGGAACTACAGGTAAAAAACAAAACAAAAACGCTAAAACTTCATTTTTGACGTTTCAGAGGCTCCTGTCAAAAAAATTGTAGGGGGTTTGGAGATTTTACGGGGTGGGATGGGTATACCTTAATTTTTTGGCATTAGTATATGTATACGCTTCCAGTCCCGATAATTCTTACCCTTAAAACTGAGAATGTTAGAGAAATATTTTCAATACACGCGTCCCACGGAACGCAATAAACGTAGATATACCTACGTAGAGGTCTGACCAATATCTGACCGACTGGTGGGTAGTCTGACTGACCAGTGGCGACGTGACGAGGTAAGTCATAGCAACGTTGATTGATTGACTAATGGACTTACTGGATGAGGACCTGTGTGGACATGTGTGTCAGAGTGTCATTCTATGACATAGCCTCGACCCAGACTACCCAAAACACTCCAATTAAGCTGGTTGATTATGAGAAAAGCGCAGAGACCTTTACTGTATGAGTATGTTTGACTTTTTTATAATTGAACCATCACGAAATCCTAAGGCCTAAACACCTATGGGTACCGTGGGGCTATAGTGGGATACAGGTAAAAGGGGGGGTGCCATACCGACTCTAGCGAAGGAGACACGTGTGCCCTAAAGATCCGCTGAGTGGTACCTTCACGTTCGACGGTCTGAAGGCATCTACCGCATACAGACAATCACAACATCCATAACCAAGAAGAAAATTCTCTTGAGACGGGATTCGAAACCGCGCAGCACACGGCGACTGATCAGTAGACCCTGACTCGGTTGATCCATTTTGTTTTTTTTATACATGTTCGTAGCTCACTTTTTTACATTGCCTGGGAAGTGCAGAGTCAAATTACTTGACGCCATTTGTTCACAGAGAAAACGTGAACATTTGCTCTGACCTTTATGAGACTCCAAGTGTAAATAGTAGCTTAGGCATCTACCACGCCGTAGTTGAGCTAGGGATTTGACATTGAGTGAGAAACATCGATTACTTAAAGAATTATTTTTCTTTCAATGTACATACAGGGTGGCGCATCGAAAACGAAACAGACGCATTTACTGGCAGCTCAGTTTTTTTTTGAACAACGCTCAGACCCGTCGATTTTGTTTTCGAGGGGGACACAAGTTTGGCAAAAAATCACGTTATCACGTGCAGCCCCCTAAGCGGGGGTGACATCACCCCCAAAATTTTAAATGGAAAGGGGGGTCGAGTGATATCTTATTTTAAAGGTATTTCAATTCCCTTTATAATGATATAAAATTAATGTACTTCAGTTCAGTAGTTTATAAGATTTATTGATTTAAAGCTTAAATAAAACTAATACATCATCATTAATGGAGATCAATACATTTGGCAGCAAAGTAATTTAAAAATGAAGAATGAACTGTCCCGTTAGGCAAGTAAATGTTGAAAATGGCCACCATGACTCTCCATGCAATAATAAAGATTTTGCTCAAAACGTTGCCGCACATTTTGCAATATTTGAGGAGTAATTTGAAGGCACTCATTCACAATTCTTTGTCGCAGGTCCTCTAATGATGTTGGCTGAGTAGCATAGATTTTGCTTTTTAAATGACCCCACATAAAGGAATCCAAAGGTGATATATCTGGCGATCTTGGGGGCCATTCAATGGCACCTCTTCTACCAATCCATCGATCTGAAAACGTCTGATCTAAATATTGTCGAACACGTAATGCGTAATGTGGTGGGGCAACATTCTGTTGGAACATTAACCTATTCGCAATGTACCGCCGATCATTCTGATTTTCAATTATGGCTGTTAATGTAATTCCAAATACATTTCACCGGTCAAATTTCCAGGTAAGAAAAAAGGACCAACTAAATGATCGCCAAAAATACCAGCCCAAACATTTAATTTTTGTGGCTGCTGTATATGAACCTCATGATAAATTCTGGGATTAGAATCGGACCAATATCGGCAGTTATGACGATTTACTACACCATTTAAGAAAAAGGAACATTTGTCGGAAAAGCAAGTGTTGACTAGAAAATGTTCATCGTTTATAATTCGTTCACTCACATCTTCACAAAATTGTAATCGCCGATCAAAATCGTTTTCATTAAGTTCTTGTACCAGGTGAATTTTATGCGGATGAAAACTATGGGCCTTTAGAATCCGTTGGACAGTACGTCCACTAACACCACACACAGTCTCCAATTTGCGGGCACTTAACGTAGGATCTACATAAACTTGCCCTAAAACCCCCACTTCTATTGCTTCGTTCCTTATGGGATTTTCAATGTTGTGTTTTTTATTGGCCACTGACCCAGTTTCCCGAAATTTAGCTACAAGTTCTAGAACATATTTTCGATGCACGTTACTGTTCTCATGTCGCTCATTAAATATTTCTGCTGTTCTATTAGCGCACTGATTATTTCCGAAAAATATTTCGATAATTTCCACTCTTTCTGCTGTGGAATATACCATGGTTAATTTATGTAATAAAGCGTTACAAGTTATTTCAGCAACAAAGTTTGGTCAAATCAATCGCAAACTATGTACTAAATTCATATTTAAAATAAGTACGAGATATTTCCTTATCTTTCTTCAAGAAATAACTTTTTTGCCACAAAAAAAACGCTCCAATAGCTATTTTCAACAACAAAATGATAAACAAACCATGGGCGTAGTGAAGAAAAGCATTTACTTATTAAGTAAATACTTTTAGTCAAATTTCTTCTGGAAGTAGTACAAACTAATCTGATGTACCTATTAAAGTCTACTTTAAGCTTTAAATCAATAAATCTTCAAAACTACTGAACTGAAGCTCATATATTTTACATCATTATAAAAGGAATTGAAAGACCTTTAAAATAAGGTATCACAAAACAAAATCGACGGGTCTGAGCGTTTTCCAAAAAAAAAAAACAGAGCTGCCAGTAAATGCGTCTGTTTCGTTTTCGATGCGCCACCCTGTATATAGCCCTGTCAATGTTAGATTACAGATAAATTATTACCAGATTACCAAGAATATGAAAACATTTCGCTGGAAAGTCTGAAATTCTGGAGCTACCTTACGGTAGAATCTATAAACACTTCAAATTAAGGTGATTGCTACATATTGTCAAAAATGGTGAGAGTGACGTAATTCGATGAAGCGATCAAACAAACGTACAATTCTGACCAAGAATCTGAAATTGCTTAAAAGTTTAACTTGAGACACTGTTCTCGCCAAAAGGAGCTCAAAGTCTTCAAGAAACATTGTTAATCCGATTTTTAAGCTGCCTAAGGTTAGTTAGGAAAAACCTCCTCACGGACATAGTTTCACAACCTCGATACCCTAGGGAGAAATCCTATTGGCCTGTTCTGGATGTACGAAGTTAGGCGGGTCTGTCTGGCAGGCACATCGCGCTGCAGCATCATGAAGGACAGCTCTGAGGGCCAAAGCTCGTTATCATAGCGGTAAAAGAGAGACAGACCGCCGACGATCCGGCGGTGCAAAAGGGTCCCGAGACAGCATCGAGCATGGATAATATAGTCGATGCGGCAACATGTGAGCAGTATTCGAGGCTAGATCTCATCTGGGCCTTGTAGATAGTGAGGAGCCTATATGGAGAAAAGCCCTAAACAAACAGCCTAGCTTTTTCCCAGCAGCTCCCGCTGCTGACGATATGTGTTCGTACCAGACCAAGTCCTCCGTAATCTAGACTCCGACCAGCCGAAATGAACGGCTCTTTGGTAGAACTATGTCATCCATAGAAACCGGATGAGCACTATGACGTTTCTTGCTTTTGTGTTCTCACTGAAAACAACTGCTAAGCGGCTAGCAGCCTCGTTTTGAAGTTGAGTTATGTACTTACTAGTAAGTAAGAGGAATATAAAAAGACTGGTTCAATTCATAAAAAGCTAGAGTGAAAGGAGATCGTATAAATTACTTACCTCGCTTATAAAATCTAGACATATCAATCAATCGATATATATGGTATTTTTTATTTACCGAAAACTCCCAATACATAACAAATAATATAATGTGCAATGATCCACCTGCTGCAAGTAACACCAACAAACGTGGTTCTATATGTAGAGTCTGGTGATCACGCGTATACCAACTATTAACTTTTTCATGGGACTGTAAATGATTTTTTGCGGATTTTTGGTGGCAGATACACTTTCACAAAGTGTTCTCTCTTGCCGACGATCGCCCCCCTTTTTAGAAAAATTCCCGCGGGCGGTCATCACTTTGCTTAGACAGAAAAAATAATTCTGAGATATATATTTATATTTTATAAACTTTCTGCCAATATTTTTTTAATACTCGTAAATACGTACCTTTAAAAATACTCAAAAATACACGAAAGTGTTTTTTAATTGCAAAATAACATTTTCAAATTCTTCAAGAGGTAAACAACCTATTTGGCAATATTTCGTAATACCCACCAATCTGAGATGCCTACCATATAAATTCGCTTAGAAAAGCACATAAAAAGTCTGTTGCTGGAGCGAAATTACATAACTTTCAATATTTTTCGCCATTCGGAAATTCTGGAAGAACAACTTGAAAATGTAACTAAAAACATTGTCTAACTGAAAATTTCTAACTAAAACTGTTTTCACCTTTTACGGTTTCGAAAAGAAAGTCGGATATGCCACCCTCTCGATTCTTTTGTATCTACCGAGACGTATGGGCC